CAGTGCGTACGTATGCTTCCACGTCTCCTAGGCACCCTTTCACAGAGAGGGGGGTTAAAATTGAAACGACATTTGCATATATTTCTGCTTAGGATATTAAACAAATTTTTTTCAAAACTAGTTAAACACGATCTAGTTAGTAGATGAAAGCATGGGGTGTTGTCTCTTTCAAATTATCCCACGATATGACATATGCAACAAATTGAAAGAAACAGATAATTTAAAGTTGGTCATTTCATTTTGATGCATAACAAAGTTTGTCTTTCTTGTTGCTGAGATTGACCGTTTAGTGATGCAGCCAAAACGCTGCCTTAGGTTGCACACCAAGATTAGAGAACAAAGAAGAAATGAGGCTTTTTGTGGAGAATATGCCGTTGGACAGCGTGATCATAACCCTGGATCAGTGACGGAAACCTTATACATTATAGTTTACAACTTAGTACTTATTTACCATATTGACTGCACAGGTACTAGCTGAAAATCCAGGCACGTATATTTTGCCGGGTTTGTGCCCCTGCCTGACGCAACTGCGAGGAGTTTGGCACTTAAATGGGTCTTTCAGCGTTCCACGTACGCCTTCTGGTATATAAACTCAGGTTTTAATCATGTTTTATTTAGTCCCCGAGTAAATCCTTCGACACAGACCTCTTTAGACTTAGTTCGGAAGTCCATCTGAATATTTTAGCTGTTTATTCATTTCCGTTAAACAGGAAAATTAATCACAATTGTCTTCGATATTGTGAAGAAATACTGGTTTTGCTAATTGCCTTTTCGTGGTATCGATAAGGACAGGATGCTCATTCCAGTCGGTGAAAATAAAATTGGCCGCTCACCCTAGATGCGCCTAGTCCCAGAATTCTGTCATATGGGACCGGTGATATTAGTTTGGTTTAGTTTTGAGTTTATTATTTATTCTATTAGTCTAATTTTAGCTCTTAGTTTAGTTAGTTAAGTATATTCTAGCTATTTAATTATATGCGACTAACGTTGGCGATAGTTAACCAAACTAAAAACTATACTAGACCAAAACTAAAATTAGACTAATAAACTAACTAGTAAGCCTACAATTAAACTTAACTACAATTAGTAAAAGCAACCACAGGACTAGGGGCTAGGGTTGTCTCAGGTAGGCCATCCACTTAACTTTTACTTTCCAACCAAATGCTCACGATTGACGCTAACGTATTTTTGTGTCATTTCTGCATAAAGCATTCGCGTCATTTTGCGCCTTACGGCAAGTCATAGTGTCCATCGAAACGACCTCACCACCTAGTACCTGGGCGCTTAGAAACTATACATGTTCGATTTTAATACCTGCACTGCCAAAGCATTTTGCCATTCTTAAAAAGGCACATGACTAACAAGACATTGTTGCATGCATGATCGCGAGAGCACATCAGATCAAATGCGTAATTTCTGAACTGGAACATGTTTTGTGGCTGTGTGCCTTTCATTTTGCACATCTATAATAGAGTCTTAACTTGCCAAACATTAAATTTAATATCGACAGTGTTTCTTTGTCGAGGCAGTGGAAATACTCAACGCATACAGACAAAGGCTTACGTCGTGGAATGGAGCCGTATTGTTGATTTCCCAAATGCAGCACATTTTCAGTCCCAGCGCCCCCAAGCCCTGTCTATTTTGACTCTGCTAATAATCGATATCCTCCGTTGATGCATTGTCACGACATCTTACACAATAAGGAGACTCTAGGTTGTATGACCTTCATGTAAGGTCTCTAATAAGAAGGGGAAAAGCCTGAGGCCAGAAAATATATTATTGTATGCTTTATTGAATGATTGGCTGACAGATTGCAGGAAGCTTGAAGCCAGACAAGGACACAAATCAGGCAGACATCCCGATTGAAAGTGAGATAGTCCCCATGGCTCCCTAAACAGGATCACGCCAGGGTCGACCTTGATGTTGATTGGTCGGTTTGGGCAGACATAACTGACCGAGAACCAGACTGCTCCTGGTACGACTGAGGCGCCTGTAATAGGGCCACTACACCACTCCACTCGAATTCAATAGGAGCTTTTCGGAGCCCGTCACAGGGCGTATTTGTTTGGCTATTAAAGCTGCGTGTTTCGATAGTCTACGTTTTAAAAAAGATTGCTATTTGCCAGAGTCACAATGTCGATTTTTTGCTTTTAGCCATTTCAAAGAATATTCGCGTTAGAAGTTACAATAACCAATATAAGAAATTGCATAGCCTAGATACTTCGATGAAGATTCTTGCATGTATGTATATGTATGGATTTATTTCCTTCTTTTCTTTAGATACCCCCAGACACGTACGCAGACTCGGGCAGTCTTCATTTACAATTCTACACTGACGACACTATCAGTGGGAAGGGTTTTCATGCCCAGTAC